ATTCAATTATAATTAGAAAAGTCCAAAACATAAAATTTCTTTCAACTTCGAAATCTATTGACATAAATCTGTTATCTAGTAAAAAAAATTATAATTAAAAATCCAATATAAATTAAAATTTCTTTTAACTAAGAAATCTGTTAAGTTTGGTTTGGAACGAAATCACCTGTTTATAGACATCAGGCAAATCGAATGTTCCTTCCTCTAGATTTTATTTAGGTTATCTTTGTTCTTCTGATTTCATAATTCACTTCAATTTAGTGTCTTTATTGCCAGATAAGTGGCACCAATCAGCAAGTGTGATTTTAGTTTTGCAATCTATCATTCGGAAATCTGTGGAAGTTATGAATTTCTTAGGGGTTTTTGTTTCCATGTGGACATGATTCTCATTCCATTTATCTGTAAATATCATGGGAATGGAGTGATGGTACCATCACTTGCATATTCCAAATCTTAAAAAGGAATGAAGGTTACATATTCCACCTCATTCCCATATCACTTACATTTTGGAACAGTCATTCGGGATTTATTTTCTTATCGCTGAAGCTACATTGATTAAATTCTGCAATATTTTGGATCCATCATCTGGTTTATTTTTTTTATTTATTCTATTTATTCATTCCTTCTGCAACAGGTGAATAATTATAGCATGGTTAGTTTTGTAAAGAACCAATTCAACCCAAAAGATTAAGCTATTGGGTGAGATCACATTAATGGTTTTATATATCTCAACACACCCTCTCACACGAGAGTCCGATACTATGTAAAAATTCAATTCAACCCAAAAACTTAAGCTATTGGGTGAGATCACATTAATGATTTTATATACGTGAACAAGTTTTATACCTCTGGACTTGATGAAGGACAAAAGGTATAGCCTCTCTATCTTTTTCCTGCTTGTCCTTGCTGCCTTCTCTTTTTTTGAAGGATCTTACCTTGTTTGCATATAAGGGATTTGATTTTGCTCCGGTGGCCGTATCATAGATTGGCGTTGAGTAAATGTCATTGATGATGCTGAAATATTAAAATTGAAGGGTATACTCTGGTAGAAATTATTTGTATTGAAGAAAGAAAAAACTGTGGCGTGAACTAAGATGAACTCAAATTGTGGATCTTGTGGCTTGTGTTTACAGTGCTGCTGATAGATTTGTTTGTCTTCACGATCATTCTATCAAAATATTTTGGTACATCAATTATGCTGTGCTCGTGAATTAAAATGCCAAATCTGCTGTTGTGAGTTTGAATTCAAACTTAAATAATTGTTCAAGAACCTGGATTTCATTGTATTTTGGCTATTCTGGAGAACATGTTACTCACCCTGAACTCTGTAATATGCTACACTTTTGATTATTTCCAAACTTTTACTACTAGATAAACAGGTTTTGGGTATATTGGATGATTGGGGGATTTTTAACTATATGTTTAAACTTGAATACAGCTTGTGTGTATGCTTCCTTATATTGATGATGGAATGACTTTAAAGCACTGATTCTTGAATTATTTTCACTAGCCTATAAAGTGGGGTTATGTTCATTAATTTCGAAACTCATGACTTTTAGGAAGTTTATTTTAATTTTATCAGTGAAGTCCAGCTCATAGATAATCAGTGTGATCTTTTGGTAAACTACAGGAATGACCTCCTCTTCTAGTTATCTTCCATGCTTGTTTCATGTTAGTTCTGTATTCATGTTCTACTAACCTTTTCAAAGGGTAGTGCAAGTCATTGAACTTTACATTTCACATCCTTTGCTTCATTAGTTCAGCCCTACCCCAAAAATGAAGCCATTTTTATTTTATACTTACTATTGGATTGTTCTCATTTACAGTATACAATATGTATTGGCCCAAATTGACAACTGCTTCCAGTATGGAGAAGATGCTGATGTGAAGATTAAAGGATTTTGACCCGGACGATGATGAGTAGCTTATTCCCTTTTGCAGCACTGCTTGGTGTGTTTGAAAGTTTAGTCTTCCCATCCACAAAATTGTCTATCAAGCTTACATTGTTAATATATAATATCTCATTAGATTGTTTCAATATGAATCGGGGACTTTGATATTTGTACAATTTAGCTTCCAAATGGGGAGTAAAATTGGGACGGATGCTTGGTCAATCTCTTATCACTACTTGCCTGGTTAGGACATGAAAAATGTTTTTAGACCCTTGAACCTTGGTTACTAATTCTGATAGCATTCCAAAAATTTGAACTTATATTAAAAAGTTTGATAAGGCAAGAACACACGAGGTTTCTTTTTTATCTCTCTGGTGGTTTGTTGAACTGTGTTTTGAAAATCTTGTTTTCTCTTGCAAATCCAAATTCTAGTTCAACTTATTCTCTGAGATTAAGATTTGGAGTTGAGTATGTTTGACGCCACCACAAACAGTGGTTAAGTAGCTAGATTCACTTAAGAATCAGTCAATGATAGAAAATTGTAAACCAGAGAGAATTTTCAAATATATTTTTTTAATATAAGAAACTATCTGAAATAAAAGTCACAGTTCACACGCCTTTTAAAAGAAAAGGTTCTTGAAAGAATTTCATGAATGTCAACTTTGAAAAGCCTTTTGAAGCTTCTCAACACTTTGATTTTATCAGACTAAATAGAAACCTAAATAAGAAGACATGGAAAAACATATTAATATGATGATTTATCTGGTGCACTCAGTATCTTTCTTTTCCGGTTAGGTTGATTGATCATTTTGCAAATTTTAAAATGGGAATAAAATGGTCAATTAGCTCTTGCCAGTTACGTATAGTCTTCAGCAAACAACTAGTTTTTTTAATATTTTCATTTTGATTAAAACTATAGTAACCTGAATCGTAAAACTAAGGATTCTTGGAGGATTCTCTCATCTCAAAATTCACTTCACGTGTAAAAGCAACAACAAAAATAATGCAACATATATATATATATATCTCACCCCACGTTTCGGGGATCCCCCTTTCAAGAACTGATGGTGCAAGAGCATTTGTTAGCAGGAGGCCATTGTAGATTATCTTTCACTGCATGTTGATGTTGTGGCTATTTTGTAGTTTATACATTTTGAGAGCATAGAAGATTTCTATGCCTTTTGGAAATGTGTATGTTATGTGTTTAGAGAACATGTATAGGGTATCACATATGACGTATGTATTTATTTTACTTGACGTTATGTTGTACATTTGGTTTCGTCGTTGGAGACAAGATTTGTATATATATATTGTATGTGTATTTAGTTGATGTAAAGGATACATGGATGAATTTTTATGTGATATGCATGCTGGTGTAGCTGAAGTTGGTTCATAGATGAATCAATGGATCAAGCCTTGAATTGGCAAGATAATGTATGTTCATGTTATCAAATTGTCAATTAGGTAAGAAAACATTAAGACATAAAAGCAAAGAAGTGCTGTCAAAATTTTGTATACTTGTGAGTACAGATTTTGAAATGGCATATCTCACTTAGGGTGTGAGGTATCAAATTAAATCTTAGGGTGTCTAATTTCTTGTTCTAAAAGATAAGATGTTTTTGGGTGTCATAACGCGACCAGTTTTGGCAAGAGTGAACGCTGCCCAAAACTGCCCTATGTTGAGTATCATGTATGCCTGATCCATACACATAAGAAGTCATGCAATCTCATACCACCATGGAGCCACACGACTAGAAAATCGTTATGATATTACATCTTTCAGGCATACGAAATCTTTTCCATTCTATAAATACTTGTTACCTCTTACAAATTATAACCGAGTCATTCACCTCTGCCTTTATTCTCACCTTCCATGAAACTTGAATGGTGACATTCCTAAGCTATACTTCATATGGCTGCTTCTTACTAGTCGATATAGACTATATAGTTAAAATTAGGAGTGTCAAAACGGGTTGACACGACACGAATTCGACATGATACGAATACATCAACACTAACACGACACGAATTTTTATTCGTGTCAAAATCTTCAACACTGACACGACATGAATTTTTTGCAGGTTGACACAACACGACACGAATAACACGCAAAATAGGGGTCAAAACGGTAATTGACAAAAAATTTAAAAAAATGGATCGAAATTAAAAAATATTAATAAAAAATTAAAAATAAAATAATTTAAAAAAAATACGGATCGACACGAACACGAATACATCAACACGAACACGACACGAATTTTTTACGTGTCATTTTTCTCAACACGAACACGACACGAATTTTTTTGCGGGTCAACCCGAACATGAATTTTCGTGTCGTGTCACGGGTCGACCCGCGTGTCAAAACCTATATTGACACCCCTAGTTAAAATTCAAATATTATCATAAATTAAAATCGGGATAAATGAATCTGTTATCCTGTAGAGACAGAAAAAAAATATGTATGACCCGCTAGGTAAAAAATAATAATAATAAAAGGCATAATTTTGTATGAGTCAGCAGGATGTATGTTTTTCTCCGCAACCATTAAAATAATTTAAGGGTTCATTTTTTCTACACTCATTGCAAATAAGTTATCTGCAGTAAGTTCAATACGACGTCGTTTTAGGACGGAAATCATGGTGTTTTTGTAATTTTAATTTATTTCAGGGCTATTATAATCTTTATAATTATAATTTTTTAATCATTCAATCTCAAAACGATGTCGTTTTGAGAATAAATACAGATAACTTATCTATAACAATTGCAGAAATATTTTTCTGATAATTCAAATATCAAACAATTGCTAAAAGAGAAAAGTGTGTATCATTGTAAAAGAGATAAAATTATGTCATTTTTTTATCAAAAAAAAAAAATTATGTCATTTTAAATGAGAAATGAGAAAAAGAGATAGATAAAAGAGGAGAGAGTGAACAAAAAAAATATAAAGACGTGAGTCCCACTTCTTTTTGTGAGACATTTAAGGCTAAAATAGTAAAACTAATAAATGCAATAAAATATGAAGCTAGCTCCCTTTTTTTATTTCTTTTCTTAATATTTTTTGGGGGGAGCAATGGTATATCTCGGGTGTATACGATAAGAATGGGAATCTATATGAAATTGAAGAAGTCAGATCAAGAACAATGCACTTGAGCGAGAACGAAGGGATAGAAGACAAGACCTTCGTGGTCACTGGTGGACTCGGATTCGTAGGATCCGCTCTATGCTTAGAACTTATCCGAAGAGGTGCTGCTGAGGTACGAGCCTTCGATCTCCGCACCTCTTCTCCTTGGTCTCATGTTCTGAATGACAAGGGCGTCCGTTGCATCCAAGGTTCCATTTTCAGATCCATCTTATTTTTATTATTATTATTTATTTATTTAACTCACTCTTGGATACTGATACTGTTACTGTCACTGATACCTAACTATTAAGGGGATGTTGTGCGGAAAGAAGATGTTGAAAGGGCACTTCGTGGTGCCGATTGTGTGTTCCATCTTGCAGCGTATGGAATGTCAGGGAAAGAGATGCTTCAATTTGGTCGTGTTGATGAAGTTAACATAAATGGGACTTGTCATGTTCTTGACGCTTGCCTTGACCTTGGCATCCAAAGGCTTGTCTATTGTAGCACTTATAATGTTGTCTTTGGCGGTCAACGGATCATTAACGGAAATGAGACTTTGCCTTATTTCCCAATTGATAACCATGTCGATCCTTATGGTCGCAGTAAATCCATTGCTGAACAGTTTGTTCTCAAGAATAATAACCGCCCTTTCAAGTAATCTTTTTTTTACATTCCATCTCATCTCACTGTTATTAGTATTGGTAACTTTTCTATGCTGGATTTTACTAACCATTCAACTACTGCTGTATGTGATTAGCGGTAACTTGGATGTTACTAATGGAACAGTTAGTTACCTGTATCAGTTTGGGAAGTTAGGAGGTTATAACTGTATTGTTGTTGTTGTTGTTGATGTCTTAAGTTACTAAAAGTTAGAGCATTTGTTTGTTGCTGAAGTTGGTTGCACATGTAGCAATTCCGGTTAATGCAACAAGACTAGACACGACACGACACAAATTTAACGAAAACACAAATACACTCAACTATCAACACGATCACGATACGGATATAAAACCAGGTCAAAATCTCTTTCACGAATACAACTCGTTTATTTTGTGGGTTGACATGCAACACGACACAAATTTTTTCCTTTTAGTTTTTGCCAATATAAACTCAACACGAGTTTGAAAATGAGTCAACTCAAACATGAATTTCTCATGTCGTGTCAAATGTGGTTGTGTTGAAAATTGTCATCTCTAGTGGCAATAGCATGATAAATAGGAATGCGTGTATGGAATCAAGTAAGTAATGAATCATTTAAAGAATTTCATCTCGTTTTCCTTTTCTGTTATGTGAATTGTGAATCCAGGAGCTTGCTCCTAATGTTGGACCCAAATAAAACTAATTATTGTTGATAAATTTGTCATTTACAAATTGAATGATAGTCATTGTTTCTTTCCTACATATGATTACTACTTTGCATACTGTTTTCATCTTCTCAAGGAGCAAAAGCGAGAATCGTCTTTACACTTGCGCTGTTCGTCCAGCTGCAATCTATGGACCAGGTGAAGACAGGCACCTTCCAAGGATCATAACCACGGCAAGGTTGGGTTTGCTTCTGTTCAGAATTGGGGACCAAACTGTGAAGTCAGATTGGGTTTTTGTGGATAACCTTGTCCTTGCTCTTATATTGGCAAGTATGGGACTTTTGGATCACAATCCTGGCAAGGGAAAACAACCTATAGCTGCTGGCCAGGCATACTTTATATGTGATGGTAATGGTTACTTTATTAATGTTTCTATCTATGTTGGAATTTTTAGGAACAACTGCTGAGTCTTCTTTTTATTTCCAGGTTCTCCGGTTAATACTTTTGAGTTCCTCCAACCTCTGCTCAGGAGTTTGGATTCTGAAGTACCAAAGACTTCCTTATCTGTCGATCACGCTCTTATTCTTGGGAGGATTTGCTGGGGTGTATATACAATCTTATATCCATGGCTCAATCGGTGGTGGCTCCCTCAGCCATTCATCCTTCCCTCTGAAGTACACAAGGTCAGTGCTTTTCTTTCATTCTAGCTGAATAGTTGGAGACTTATATGCACTTCTCATGTTGCATGCTTGAAAAAAAAAAAAAAACTTGGAACATGTTGTGCAGATTATCAAAGTTCAACTCCATTCAAGAAAATCCTTCCTTTTCTTTATGTTAACTTAGTCAGCCTACATGTTTTACACGAAGACACAGAGAGAAACTATCATGATTTGTAAATACTATATGTTAGTAACAACAATCATAACCCCATAATTGGAGAGTTTATGTAAGGCTGAAAAATAGGAGTATCAGATTGGAGAGTCAGCAACAGCTAATATGAATTAAAGCTGGAGCAAATACCAGCAAATGTCAATGGATTATTGTGTCTGGAAATTGCCTGGGAATTTATCTAAAAAATGCGTGATGAGACCTGTGTTGTAAAAACGTAGTGTCGAAACGTAGAAACGTACCGTTTCTACGTTTGTATGACAAAAAACGTGTCGAAACGGTAGTTGAAACGGGTTTTGGGTCGAAATGGTTGAAACGTAGTGTCAACTCGTAAACTCGGTTGAAACGTAGTGTCAACTCGGTATTCATTTAACCATTTTTTTTTTAAATTTGAAACTAATGACTGAGTGTCTGAATGGAATTAGGTTTTTATCTTGGGCCTAAGCTATCGCATAATTTGTGTTGTTGTCATCTGCAATCGCAACTTGAAGTCTAAATCATTTTTTTAATTTGGCTTTAAACACACTTTAACTTAATTAATCGAAGCATTGTAGATTTTCTTTTTTTCATAATATCTGTTAATTGCAATTGCTGTAATAATTAACAGATTAGATTTAAATTATCCTACTTCCACCATTTTTTATTTTATTTTCTTTAGTGTTTAAACTTAAATTTGTGATGACTTATGTATTCATGTATTTTGGATATATATATATATATATATATATATATATGTTGGATATATTTTTTAGTAAGTAATAAACTCTTACGTTTCTTTTACGTTTCACGATTTTACGTTTTTGCTCACCCCTACCGTTTCTACGTAGACTCTATGTTTTAACAACATTGGATGAGACCTACATCTCTCTGGTTGTTCATTGTTTCCATTTTGTAGTGTGTTGTTGTCTGGTGTGTTATATGTAATAACGGAATTCCTCTCTCTCCATTATATGTTATTCTATTCAATAAAGCAATATCATTCAGAGTGAAACTCTTGAATCCTAACACTATAGTATGTACTTCCATACTTGTTCTTTGTCAGGTGGGGGTGACCCATTATTTTTCTTATCTTAAAGCCAAAGAGGAAATTGGTTATGTCCCTGTGGTGACCCCGCGAGAGGGGATGGCCGCAACCATATCTTACTGGCAAGAGAGGAAAAGGAAAACTCTGGATGGGCCTACAATCTACCCGTGGCTGTTTTCTATCATTGGGATGATCTCACTGTTTTGTGCTGCTTTTTTGCCTGACATTGGGATTGTGTTCCTTCTCAGAGCAATTTCTCTGTTCATCTTTCGGTCAATGTGGATGACAAGGATGGTGTTTTGTCTAGCTACACTTGCACATATCTTTGAGGCCGTTTATGCTTGGTTCCTGGCTAAAAGGGTTGATCCTGCGAATGCAAGAGGCTGGTTTTGGCAAACTTTTCTTCTTGGTTATTTTTCGTTGCGTTTTCTGTTGAAAAGAGCAAGGAAATGACTTGTACAATAGTTACATTTTGGGGAATGAATTCTCTTGCTTTTGATTGCATGATAAAATGGAAACCACCTGTATATTTGAATAACTACTCGCTAAGGTAAAGTTATCGATAACAAAAGATTTTTATTGCAGAAATAAAGACTGGATGAGAAGAAAATATATCAATTCTTTGTTTTTGCTTCAAAGTGTTCTTTTTCTTTCTTTCCTTTTCGTAAAAGCTTTAAGGTTACCGAAGTTTGAGTGAAAAAAAAAAAAAAAAAACTGAAAATAGGCTTCGAAAAGAATGGAGTAGAGAAATGAAGTGTTGTTGTTCTATTTCTTTTTTTCTTTTCTTTTTTACTAAAACTTATTTTAATTAGAAGCAGAGTTCATGGAAGAAAAGCGATCTCAGAAAGATTTGTATCTGGATCAATTAGTCCTTTAGGAGATATGGACAAAGTATAATAATTTATGGCACAATGAGTTTCCTGACTTTTTTGTGTCTTACCATTATTAGAATGGGGTGTGAATCTTTTTATATGACTATATCAAGCGAGAATAGCCAATCAACCGTGATAAAAAAAATTATCTCTTTCTTATAACCATTGATTTGCCCATATATAATTAAAGATCATTTCACATACTATCGTCATCTTAAATAATTAACATCAAAAGATTTACTACAGTGAGAATGCTAGGTAAGAGTTTTGGTAACAAGACCATAATGGTGATCCACATATTCCGAAAATACGCACGGCCGTGAATCTAGTGTGATTTTTCTTGCATCCTTGCAAGAAAATGTGAGAAATGAAATCAATTGTAGGAGTCCCCGAAGTATATAATGCTTATTGTTAGAGTAAATCTCCTAGTTCCGAAAAATTTGGAAGTGGACACTTCAGTTTGTTGAGAATACAAAAACTTCATTGATCCCTCCCTCAACAACAAATAGTAGCCATGTTGATATTTGTCTGGAACTAATGTATTTGATTTGATATCCTAAAAATCATAAGACTAATACTTGAGATTTTTTTATACTGGTCCCTGAATTTTGTACAGGAGAGAATGAATTCGGTTATCCTGAAGCTATTCATTGTATCCAACTGCCATGAATGGGGGTTGAAAAGGCTTTTCGATATAAAAACTTGATAATATCATATCATTTGTTTTCAACTTGAGAAGGTTTAACACGAAAGAGGAGGTCAATCCGATCTATCTACATAGCTTTAGATAAGTCTGGCTGGTCTTCAGGATCGGACAGAAAAAGGACTAGTTCTATTAAAATGTTTAATAATATAGGTGTTTGGATTTTGTATAGGTGTGAACTTATCTTGTGCCATGAACGCAGGTGTCTCTGAATAAATGACTTAAGAGGTGTTCCAACAGGTGTCTCTGAATAAAAGAGGTATTCCAACTGCCGTGAACTGGGAAACATGCTCAAGTCATTCTGCTCTATTTTAGTATAATCAAAAAACACTCGATAACGTAATTTGATTATAAATTTTACATCAGGCATTTTTTAGTCACTGCAAATATCGCATAGACAACGAGGATAAGGATAACGACCATAATGGATCCAATAATACAGGGCAAACAGGTAAAATTATCCTACAACAAATCTTGATATCGCTCGAGAAGCATAGTAAATCGGTAATCATAAATTCCTAAATCCAAATTATAACGAGGACAATGACAATAATGACAAGAGAGGTTGTTGCTAAGGAAACTTTAACATTGGGCATCTTGTAGACATTGTAAATTTCGAATAACCAACGAGGATAATGACAGTAATGGATCCAAATCCAGGGTAATCCATCCATAATTCCACAAATATTAAAAACAAAATGACAAAAGTTAATCATCCTAAAACAGATTTTGACATGCGCTCGAGAGAAGCTTAAGTAAATCGGTAATCATAAATTCCTACATCCCAAATTTCAACTTATTTTTCCTACAGATTGGTCTTGTCCAGGTCATCGAAGTAAGGATGTTCCATAGCTTTCTTTGCAGAAATCCGCTTCGAAGGTTCATATTGCAACATTTTCTGAAAACCAAAGAGAGAAATAAGATGAAGATTGAAGTAAAATCAACACCAGCAGTACTAGAGGGAATATCAAGGGCCAACTTACTAATAATAGATCCAGTCCAAGCTCATCCAAATTTGGAACTGCAGTTGACAGTTTTTTAGGGCTCCACTGAGGGTACTCATGCCAATTCATTAGTTTACTAACCCCAGGCCACACCTCTTCATTAGGAGTACCTAATAGCCTGCACAAAGAAGGTAAAGTTATATACTGACTCATACACAAATGAAGCAACAGCAGGTTACATACTTTCTAAATGTGTCACCTGAAAATATGAAGGAGTTGTTGCAACTCAGAATCACCAGGAAAGAGTGCTTGTTTGGTGACAAGTTCAGCTACAATTGAGAATGAAAATATTAAAATGAATAATTTAACCTATAATTAGGATAAAACTATGACAAATACCTACACTTATGCTGTAATGGAGTGTTTCTTCCTGACTATCAAATAATATCTTTCAAGGCAAATGCCATCCTTATTTTTTAGTGTACAGAAGTGTAGCACTTGTATGCTGGTAGGTAAACGTAATGTTCAAACATTTCTATTGTAGTTGACTTTCTGACAATAGAAAGTCTGAGACATTTTTTTATTATGTTCTGTCTAGTTCTTTCTTGAAACAACAGTGATGAAGAAATATTCCGAAGCTTAAGGGGTATCAATGAGCTAATTAAAGAAATGTTAGAACTAAAGGCTCAATTGTTATCGAGACAGAATTGAATTATTGAAAGAGATGCATGACTCTGAACTCCTACAGGCTCATTTTGCTTACAATAAGTCTTCAATTTGCAGAGGTTGAAGGTGAGAAGGGAGAAAAACTCATGGCGACTCTTAACTCCAAATACATCAACCTACTTGTTTTTTTTTTTTTTTTTTTTGGGGGGAGGGGGGGGTGCATTCCTTATAGCCACAGTAAGGCAGCTTTTTTTAACCCCCTTGCGCAGACTAATAATTCATTTTTTACTCCAAATACAAAGTGTTTCCAGACACACATATAGGAAAATATAGCACTTGATTCAACAAGATTCTTACCAAATATACAGCCAACAGACCACACATCCACCGCCATTGAGTAATGTGTAGCTCCCAAAAGAACTTCCGGTGCTCTGTACCACAGGGTTAGTATCTGAAAAAAGGGACACAACACAAAAGTAATGTTAATGACATACAAAGGTATAAAAACAGAGGAAAACTAGAGAACAAAAAGGCTTATCTGAAAAAAGGGACACAACACAAAAGTAATGTTAATGACATACAAAGGTATAAAAACAGAGGAAAACTAGAGAACAAAAAGGCATATCTATGTTTTTACCTCGTGAGTGTATTTCTTAATGGGCACAGTAAATGCTCGAGCAAGTCCAAGATCAGCTATTTTAAGCATCATTGTTTTTCGATCCATCAAGAGATTGTGAGGCTTCAAGTCCCTTGATAAAGATCAAATCTTGAGTAGATAAGTTTCCAGTTGAATGAAGTATGACTACAATATGTTTATGTGAGAGAGAAAAGCAAAAATTTGGTATAGACACTTTATGAAAATACTAAATTTACACCAAGACAGATTTTTCGGTAACAAGGCTATATATAATGGCAATCCACACAATTCTGGAAATCACTCATGGCTGTCAGTCTAGTGTGATTTTTCTTATATCCTTGTACACAAATGCGAGAAATGAATGTTTATATACTTGTGAAAAATCAAGCATTCTTGCCATCAATTGTAAGAGTCCCCTGAAGTTTAAGCTTTTTGTCAGAGCAAATCTCCAAGTATGTTCCGAAAATTTTGGAAGTGGGGGACTTTAGTTGATGAGAATACAAAAATCTCATTGGTCCCTCAAAAAAAATAACATTTGTGTAGAACTAATGTATTTAATGCCTAAAAATTATGACTGACATTTGTGGTTATCAGGAACTACCGTGGGATATTTTCAAGCAAATCTTCACCGGATAAATTTTCATTAGAATGATATATGATTACGTGAGAGATAAATGAAGAAGGCAGGAAGTTCAGTTATACCTGTGCAAGATTCCATGACAGTGGCAGAAAGCAACACCCTTGCAAAGCTGGTACATCAAGCTCTGCAATCAAATCCACAAAATCAATGAAAAATTCACTAACAAGAAGCTCATAGTCCGTTAAATAATAATAATAACAAAAAGAACACAAATAAAACAGATAGGCATATATACTTTGACGGTTTTGGGTGCGATATTTTCTCCAGTTTGCCTGAAACTACGAATAAACTTCTTGAGATCGGTATCCATGTACTCAAACACCAAGTACAGCACTGTCTTCCCCTCCTTGTTCTGACCTTGTTTTACATCCAGTAACCTGTAGAGTCAAAAAAAACAAAAACCAAAATAAATAAACAAAATTAATTCTTAATCAAATCATAATAATAACGCACATTAAACATTGAAAGAAACTTAGAAAAAGCGACAGTAAATCGATGAAAACCCTAAAAATTAAACAAAAATGAATCAAAGTGAAAAGAATATACCTGACGACATGAGGATCGCGAGAAAGCATTCGCAAAATGGAAACCTCGCGGAGTGTGGTGGGAGGAACACCTTCTTCGTCTTCGTGTAAGCGTGTCTTCTTGAGTGCAACGATCTTTCCAGTAGCTTTCTCTCTTGCTCTATATACCTTACCATACGTTCCTTCTCCAACCTTCTCTAGCTTCTCGAATGCTTCCTTCGCCGATAACACTCCTGTCTTCTCCATTTCTCTCTCTCTCTCTCTCTCCCTAACTTTCTCTCTCTATCTTCTGAAACTGAAATGAATCGATACCGTTGCGACTCTTAGGAATATATATATATATATATATATAAATCCGAAATTGAATCGTTGAGCAACGGATACTTGTTTTTTGAATTTGAAATCCCGCTCCACTCTCTCTTCTCGTCCCGATTCAATTCGGTATATTTATTTTTCTTCTTATTTTTCAAAGGAAATATATTCATTCCTATTATAATATATTCATTCAATTTAATATAATTATTTTATAATATTCTTCGTTTAAGAGATAGTCATTTTAGTTAAAATTATTATATTTTATTTAATATTTAAATTAAAAAATCTCTTGCTTTCTTCAAATACGATTTCTGTTTTTTTCATTTTAAAATACAATAATTTTGAATAAAATAATACAATTATATATTTTTCTAAAAGAACAAATACTAATCCTTTTATTTTATTTTATTATTATTATTATTATTTATTTACTAAATTTTAATTCCGGTTATGTTAGGCTAATAACGTTTTATTTTATCTATAAAACATAGAAGATATATAAATCAAGTTATCCCAAAGAAAAACTTATCTATTTATTTTCGGAGAAGCTTATACTTATCAGTTTCGTTTACAACTTCTTACAACTATATCTTAACCATTGATTTTCGTCAATTAATGGTTAAAATTTTTGCAAATCAAATTTATTAATTAATTATTAATTTACAATAAATGACAATCGTTAATGAGCAAAAATTATCAATTAAGATAAAATTATAAAAATTTGTAAATTATTTGAATTATAAATATAAGCGTGTCTTTTTTTTTTCTTTTGGTTGAAAGTTTGTGACGCGGCCATAAAAACTGTATCCCATGCGCCCAACGTGAATTAAGGGGAATCAACTTCAGACTTTCAAATTACTTCTTGAAGTTGAAAGTAATATTTGTATTTTTACGTGTATTTAAAATTTAGATAAATTATGAAATTAAAATATTTAAATAAAAAATACTTAAGAGATAAATATTTAAAATTATATAAATATAATATTAATTTAATTAAAATTTTAAAAGTGTAAACTAAAATAAAAATATTAAAATTATAAAGAATATATGAATAATTAATTGAAAACTTAAATTTAAGTTTTAAATTTTTAAAAATAAGAAATAAGAATAACATGTGTAATTCTTAACAAATGAATTAAAATATATGAGGATGTTGAGATCAGTGCTTCTGCGTGACTTTGTGGCATAAGGATGTTGAGCATGATAAACATGAAAATATGTGAAGTCATTCGGATTAAGTAAGTAGTTACTAGTTAGTTACTACATGTGTGTAGTTGTTGATTAGTTACAAGCAAACGTTTTGTATAAATGGGTATGTTGTACCATTTGAAGAATCATATGAATGAAAATATAGTTCCTTCTTCGTTTTCCAGTTTTTCTCTCTTTCTTGGGCTTGTAATAACCCGAAAACATAATATGATATAACTGTGTCTTAAATAAAATAAGAGAAAACTATGTATTATTTTAAAGGATATAAAGTTGTGTCATTTTAAGTGAGAGAAAGAGATAGATAAAGTAAGAGAGAGTGGACAAAAAAATATAAATATGTGAGTTCCACCTCTTTGTGAGAGTGAAAGGATATAAGTTATGTCATTTAAAAGAACAAAAAATTTTCTCATAAAATAATTGCGAAAGACTTCACAAAGTATCACCATAGTTCTGAAATTACATGACTAAACTTTTTCTATAATTCCTTTATGTACCCAAACTATTTCCACCAATTACAAAACTGTACAATTTCATAATTGCACAGAATCCATACTTAACGAAATACTGACGGCATAACTTCTGTATATTGTACAAACTAAAAACATCAAACCTGTAATCCAGAATATATCCATCTAATAGAGAATATCCATACCTTCAGAATATATCCATAGATTCCTACTTCATTTATATAAACTCAGAGTATATAGACATGTAACTGCATATCTCACATACATATATGTTTCCAAACATAAGCATAACATATATGTTATACATTCCCAGATATCTCATACCAAATATATACAGATGTACCAACTACATCTATCTCTTAGGAAACAACTCAATTTCTTAGACAACTTCATCCCAAAGAAATCCCTATCGGGTTCCAAGTAAAATGACTTAACATAAATTTATCTACTGTTCAGAGATCCTCTCAACATACATTACATCATAATATAAGTCTTCATATCATAATTCATGTGCATATTTCAAATGCTTAATCCATGATGCATGTCACTATATCATGATACTACATGCACATTCCTCATTCAAACCATCATTCCCCAAGGTTCATGGCGGAACACATAAGGGGATTAACCTCAAGGTCCAGAAATTTACTTGATAGTAGACTCTCGTTCCTAGCTTGTTCAACCTCAATGAACATAAATTACCAATTTCTTACTCAATGCAACCTATGGCAAAATGTGCAAAGGTGATCATTAACTTAAACAACACACAATTCTAAGTCAAATGGCTACAACTCATTACAACTACTCAGATATCAGTTTGAATCTCACATTACATCATAATCACAACTTACCCCTTTGTAAAAACTCAAGAATATCTATTTACAAAAAAATAAAAAAACTCAAGAATATCCAACTTAAGCAATGGTTGATTCCAATCGGTGGGAATTGTTACAATGAAACAATGTCAACATCTCTCCAATATTTTGAATTTTCTTAGTACTATTCACCACAAAATCCCAAAATTATAAATATTCTCAAAACCATAAAATAAGGTGATTTTTCTTACCTTAGAACACTACACAGTCAAGGGTGATTCCCAAGCTCTTATGGTGTGAAATGCTCTAAAACTCCACAAATCTTCAAGAAACTCAAAATCTTTCAGGGGAAGGATCCCTCTCTACCAAGCCTTTTCACATGAAAATGAGTGTAGAAATGGGTTCCTAGTGAGATGCTATGCAAGTTAGGATTTGGAACCGTTTGATTTCATCCACTATGGTGAAAGCTAGGTTTTCTTCAAATCAACAATGGTGTTTTGCTATCTCGTGAGGAAGAAGAAGTCAATGGCTAATTTGGGGAAAAGGAGAAAATGAAGTGTTTTTACCTATTCACTTATGTTAGCATTAACTAATGGGTCCCCACTTGGTCTATTACCCATTCATGATAACTTTCTCATTTACTTCACTTTCTCACTTAATTTTTAATAACCATGACTTAATATAGAATGTGTAATTTAACTCAAAATTCACAATTTAATCATCTATCATGAATTTTGACATTAACTAAACTCGTGAGATATTTTCTCACTAACTCATTATAAATTTTTCTATAACTTTTAAGATACTGTATTTTACCAAAAAAAATTATTGTATTACACTTTTATCTAAAATATGATTTAATTTTATTAATTAGATTTATTCTCTAATTAATCTTTTATCATCATGCCAAATATCCCATATTATTCATTATGCAGTATTATAAAGAGTCAATTGGAGATACCATTATGAAATAGGAGAAGGCTAAAAATGAAACGCATCCTTTTGAGGCATGGATGGTTGTTAAGAGGAAACCCAGAGTCAAAAAATCATTTTGGTACCGAAAATCTCGTATGAGAAGATGCCAGAGAAAGCAGCGGTAGCCCATGCTAGAAGTCAATGAGGAAGTCAACGAGGAGGAGAGAAACCTGTGAAGGGGGACCTCGAGAAGGGTGGTGCGGCTCAGAGCAAGGACATCTGCCTAGTGGCTCAGGAACACATAACCCAACTGATGGTGGTGCATAATAATTCTCAGAACAGGAATTATCAGAGTTCGACTTTAAAAGAAAGAGCAAGGGTTAATCATCAGAGGGGTAATTCCTTGGACTCTACTAACCTTAAAAGAGGTGATGGAAAGGTAGCCAATAGAAAAGCTGAGACGGTGGACCAGGGTGTCACGAACCAAATAAGTATCAGGAGGAAGGAAGAAGAGGTGAAACTTAATGAATGTAACATGCAGGTTATTGCTCTAAATAAAGAATCAAACTTAGGTACTAGTGCAATGGGCAATGTGTTAGAAGAGGCTAATATACCTATACAAAATCTTTGGATGTTGTGGAGTTGATGCGATGTTTCGAACAAACAAACCCAAAAGCAGTGTGTTTGGCTAATGAAGCGTTATTGAATTGAACTATCATGCTACAGTAAAAAGACCATGTGTCCTCAATCTTGTTATTATTTTTTATTTGTTTCCCAAAATATGACATAACTTATCTTTGAAATTGTCAAAGAGGGGCAAACTGACTTGCAAGATTTGGAGAAGAAAAACTTCAATGCATCGGGAGCACCGAACTCGGTGCTCCCTTTTACTAAAATGGAATTTTTCCCCCATTTTACCCATGATTTTCTTTTTATATTTCACAAGTCCTAAAAAAATTTCAATTTTAGTAAAAAGGAGCATCGAGTTTGGTGCTCCTGGTGCATTGAAATTTTTCTCGATTTGGAGAAGGGAGCAACATGTTCTCCTGCAGAAAAAGTTGAGAAGAGGATAAAATTTAACTCTTGGTGTCATGCATTTTTCTAATTAATATTAATGGATTGCATACTATCATTTTCATATATTTCTCTAAATTTTTTAAAAGTATTTTCGATTTATTTATCTATTTTTGAATATTTTATAATTAAAAGCATTCTTCTAAAAATTTAAAATATTTCAATAAGATGTTTTTAAAAGGTAAATGTATAAAGAAAAATGGATTTGATATTTTTAAAAAAATTCAGAAAGAATAACTTTTTCAAAAATTATAAATAAACCATAATAACTTCTGAATTTTTTTTAACAAAAAACATATTTTATATAAAAAAATTTAAAGTTCATCCAATCACATCCTTATTCATTCATTTTCTTTCACTTGTTAATTTATTTTTCCAAGGTCAGAGGTTGTCTTGTGTTGTTTCAAAAGCTTAGCACGGTTGATAGAAATTACTAATTAGGGACATGCAATACCAT